GATCTTAACCACTTCTGGACCGGCCGTTCTATATAAACGGCTGGACGGTGGCAGTGCAGGGTCGGGTGGCCGTTTACAAACGGCCTCCCCGCACCCTGCTTGTGCGCGCTCCCCAGCGCCATCCGGTGCCCCCTGTGTCCTCCGGACACAGTGAAACACCAATCGTCGGACGGGACCTCTGTACGAGGTCCCGATCATGTGATCACTGATTGGCCAATCAGTGATCACATGCAAAGTAGTTAGCAAGATGTCACTTGTGACATCATTGCTTACTACCTGTGAAATCTGTGAATGATCACAGAGGTCACATGGTACAAGGCTATTCACAACAGACTTGTACCATGTGACAAGCTGTGACCAATCACAGCTCACTCAGTACTTCTCAATGACTGCAAGAATGCAGACAGAGAGAAAGAGAAATGATTGCTTTTACATCCTATATGGGCCTAAAAGCAATCAGTGTAAAAAAAAAAACTTCATCACCCCCCACAAGTAGTAAAGTGTCACCATGGTGACACTGTACTGCTAGGGTGACAGTATGTAAAATTAAAAATAAAAATAAGAAATAATAATATAAAAAATAAAAATGTAAAAAAAAAAAATTTTTTAAATTATAATTTTTGGTTATAAACTAATTTGGATTTTTTTTTTTACTAAAAAGATAACGGAATAAATTTTGGCCACGATTTATGATGAAATATTATTTATTTGCAAAATTTTATAAAAAAAACAAATTTACATAGCAAAAAAAATAAAAATCCCAGCGGTGAATAAATACCACCAAAATAAAGCTTTATCTGTCTCAAAAAAATGGTAAAAAATTCATATGACCGCGCAATTGTCATTCAAAGTGTGAGAGCGCTGAAAGCTGAAAATTGCCCTGGACAGGAAGGGGGTGAAAGTGTCCGGACAGGAAGTGGTTAAAGAGTAACTACACTTTTGTTGAGAAAAAAACATTCCCCTCTGGACAATCAATGCACATTCCAGGGATTTTAACAAACTTTGCGGCAGATTCCATTGTTTGTTATTCTGAAGAAATAACTCTGTGTTTGTCCATGTGCTGGGTGAATCTGTATTGGAGGGGTTTTTATAATGATCAATCAGCAGCTGTACCTGCAGGGCTCTAAGGAGGAAATCTGCAGGGTCTGCATCCCTTAGACATGATTTCCCTTTTATTTGTATCTTAATGCAGACTTGTGGAAAAATTAGCCAATTACACAAGCAGGAAATTTACATTTCAGGGGGAGGGGGGCGTTCTGTACACCATCCGTGTACAGAACACCTTCAGGCAGCCATATTGCATTGCATTTTACAGAAGATTACAGTGCTGCAGATTGAAAGGAAGGGTAACTTTTAATAACATTAAATTACTTGTGTCTCAATTGTATATGCTATATCATTTTTTTTTACTTGCTAATTTTTTTTCCCATGAAAGTGAAGTTACCCTTTAAGAGTGTTACATTTCATTTGCTGAAGCACTGCTGCCATGTTTTTCTGTTGTTCATAAGATATTATTTTCATCTTTTTCACACACTTTTGAATACTGGTGCTGCTCTTCTGCTTTGGCCTCATTCAGCTACTTCCTGTATATATAAACATAATCAAGTTTTGGCTGCACAACATAAATCAAGGGCAGGCCTCTGAGGACATGCATGTACACGAAACGCGTTGGGTGGAGCCTTACGTGCTGACATCACACGGCCGGAGCTCAGAGTGGCAGCCATCTTGGTATGTGTTGTACACACAAATGAATGCTGTATCCACGTGGATTGTATTTTAAGCTTTTAATAAATACTACACTATATTTATTGTACTTATATAGCGCCATCAATTTAGGCAACGCTTTACATACATATATATTGTACATTCACATCAGTCCTTAACCCTCAAGGAGCGTACAATCTAAAGTCCCTAACTCACATTCATACTAGGGCCAATTTAGACAGGAGCCAATTAACCTACCAGCATGTCTGTTGAGTGTGGGAGGAAACCGGAGTACCCCGGAGGAAACCCACGCAGTCACAGGGAGAACATGCAAACTCCTGGCAGGTGGTGCCGGGGTTGGGATTCGAACCAGCGACCCTAGTACTGCCAGGCGGAAGTGCTAACCATTTAGCCACTGTGCTGCCCATATGTGGAACCTTGGGCTCCTGTGGTGAGCTTGTTCCTCTAGGAGGATTCTCCTGTCGGTTTTCTAAAGTCTATTTACTGGAGAAGTCTGGTCTGTATATATGGCTCTCTAAGATCTTCTATGGGATCAGTACAAATGCTACTATACCAGTAGCGTTCTGATGAGTGCATATCCATAGGAGGTGGTGCATTCCCACATTGGATTATGAGCATCTTTTGAATATCTCACCTGGTATTACTGTACCTTGTAGTGCCACGGATTCCTACACTGGATGATGAGCACTATTATATTTATCACTTTGGTATTGCTGTGATTTGTAGTACCATGGACATTTTATGATTGCATCTATCACATGGGTATTGCTGAGATTTTTGCAGTACCACGGACATTTTATTTATTTTATACTTTGTTTAAATATTTGATTGGTTATATCTGCAATACATTGAGACTGTGTCATATTATTATTATTATATAGTGTTTATATAGCGCCAATAGGTTTGCTCAGCGCTGTACAATAAAGTGGGGGGACAGTACAAGAGACAATACAGTAACAATACAATACACGAGGGGTTCGAGGGCCCTGCTCTTTCCAGCTTACAATCTAGGAGATAAAGTGCATTTATTATTTTTTTTCTCAATAGGTAGACTATACCTTTAACAACATGAAAGACATAGGTTGCAATTTTTCTATTACTTCATGATTTTTGTATTGTGATTGTCTAGTGGTTCACTTATAGCAGTTATGAATCTTTATTCAAATAAAACCATTAACTTTATTTCTTATTTTTTAGAAATCAAACAACTGAAATACAGCCGTAACCTGTCACAGGAGACCATTGCCTTCAGCATACGCACATAACAGCTAAACAGAATGTAGGTTTCAGACTGTGTTAACAAGATTGTCATCAATTATTTCTGTTAATTTCAGTGCAAATTTGGTATCAAAAGATATACTTACACATGCAGTGGAGGGATAGGAGAAGGTTCATAGTGATATCAGCCTTCATGATGCCTTGCGTCAATTGGCACTGGAGGGTGAAAGGCTGGAAATAGGTGAGGCGGAGGATAGTGCGGATCAATATGGTTTACTAATATCAGGTGTTCACATTGTTCACCATAACACTTTCTGAATTTAATATTTAGCGCTGCACTTCCACTTATACAACATAAATCTAGACTGGCTTTTTCAAAGTGAAAATGGTGGGCTGTGCCTGAGCAAAGTCTGATGGTACTGCACTTGTATTCTCCACCAAGGGTGCGTGTGACACGGTGACATTGGAGGAGAACATTTGGGTGACAGTTATCACCCCATAACAGGAAGCACCTGAAAATTCATATTTCATTATTTTAACTAGATATATTATATGAAAAAGTGCAGCGCTAATTAACAAATTAAATGTGCTATATCAGAGACTGGCCACACCCACAAATAGACAATATGAAGTCCATAGGAACAATGTCCGGTAAATGACAAATGGATGAAATGGTGACTTTGTTGCTCCCAGTGAGGCACTAATCAAAACCGTGTAGGAAATATAAGAAATGCGCACTCACCAGATGCGCATTAGGTAAGCGCAATATTAATAGCCAGAGGTCCCCTCTTATCCTGTGGAAGGTGCAGTTCACACTGGACAGGCTGTCCCACAATACTGGCGCCTTGAGAGATCTTCTCTACTGGTGGAAGTTGCAATGGGGGTCAGCTTATATGAGTCACTCTCCTCTGGGCCTCAGGGTGGTCACCATATGGTCCTGGAGGGTTAAATGCAGCTGGATAATTATCGGGGGCCACCGGACCTCCTTGATCCGATGGCGTGACGTCTCAGGCGTGTATGGTTCCTCTTATTTTTCCTACATGGTTTTGATGAGTGCCTCACTGGGAGTAACAAAGTCACCATTTCATCCATTTGTCATTTACTGGACTTTGTTCCTATGGACTTCATACTGTCTATTTGTGGGTGTGGCCAGTCTCTGATATATATTGTAGTGTATCAGCAGCTTATGTTCTCATCATCTTAGCGCAGAATCACCTTTATATTCTCTAGGTATATTATATATTGCAGATGAATATCAGATATTTTCATTCTAAACTCAGAACAACATTCTGAGTTCATGCTTTCCTTTTCCATTTTTAACTGCAGTGGTCAGAGGAGGAATGCCAGGAAACAATGAAATGAGACTGTGGCTCTCTACTATTTAGTTTTGTTCCCGCTATTCTGAGTTATGAAGTTTCCCAAAACAATTTTATTAAATAGGATTTCACAGGGCTAGATGCAGGTACCTTACAATCACAAAGAGATTAGGGACGTTTGTAATTTGGTAGGTAGAGTAGCAATGCTTGTTGCACAATATTAGGGATGTCTATTTTCTGGTCGTGCACACGGAGCTTAGGTGACTGGTAAAGAATTTTGCAAACCAGCTGTTTAGTAAGTGTCTTCTGACCAGCAGTATGTCAAGTAAAACTAGACTATATGTAATGTTCGAAAAACGGCCAACCATACAAATCTTATATAGACTATAAACCAATCAAATGATTTCTGTGGTACTGCATCTCATTTCTCTCCAAGTATATAAATTTGTATTGTGGGACTTGAAAGGGGACCAAAGGATGGTTTATAACACATAATATTAAGTTAAAATAATAATTGTATTATGGAAAAGACCTCTAAAAGGGCTCAACCCAGTGAGGCTCAAGTATATCACAACACACACAATTTAGAATAGCATACCACTCTACTCATATCTCATCACCCTATTGTCCATGTTTATATGTATACTCTACATACATAATCACAATGGTATAACCAGTACAGAAAGCCATTATGTTGGCTCAGAATATAACAACAGTGGTGCAGGGGCGGACTGAAAACTCATGGGGCCCCCGGGCAATAGGGGATCATGGGGCCCCTGTGTCCTTGCCCAAACTCAAAAAAGCCTATGAAAAAGGTACCAGGGGCCTCAGTGCCTGAGTTCGGGCAGTGCCCACCAAATGGTTTCCGCCCCTGGAGTTGAGTACCACACTCATGAAACTGTTTTACAAGCTATTTGGATTTGTTCAACATATAAAATGGGTCTCTCTTTAGAATGCAAGGCTGCATCCAGGCAAGGCTGTAAGGGGGTCAGGCTCAACATTTAGCTATGGCAGTGGCAAAAACCTTGCACCACAATAAACACAAAAAATTTCAGGTACAGTCCAGGATGGAGCTGGTGTGTCTTGCAGGGGCGGACTGACAACTCATGGGGCCCCAGGCAATAGGGGATCATGGGGCCCCTGTGTCCTTGCCCAAACTCAAAAAAGCCTATGAAAAAGGTACCAGGGGCATCTCATGGGGCCCCCTACTGACCCGGGCCCTCGGGCAGTGCCCGAGTTTCCAAATGGTCAGTCCGCCCCTGCAGTGGTGCAATGCTTCATGACCAGAAACTCTTTGTGTTTCATTGATGCATTCAACGTAGGTGATCTGTCTAATAATTATATATATATATATATATATATATATATATATATATATATATATATATATGTGCACAGGTAAGACACATGTTCTTCTAGTCTATAAACAATACATACTCAATCTAGGAAGACAATATAGAATGTGTCAAGTAACAAAATCCAGATTTGTCAAATAGAGAATGTAAATGAACCCTTATATTTTTGACCACTTCAAACTCATGAAATTAGAACCCATTGTTCCAGATTAGTTGCCAATGATGAGAACCTCCCTAGAGCATATGCAGGTGGAACCAGTCTTATTTAAACCTCTAGTATGGTGTTTTCCTTTGCTATTGACTCATGCCAAGATCAAAATCTTTCTAAGGCCCTTAAAAATAAGGTTGCAGATACCTATGCAAGGAATTTAAAAATACCATCAAATTATTTTAAATCAATAATTTCACTGTAAGAAAAACAATCTACAAGTGGTATAGGTTTCAAACAACTTCTAATTTAGTCAGGACTGGACAGGCCAGCAAATTCAACCCAAGAGCTGATGGTTTGATGCTAAAAAAAATCTCCAAGGACCCCAAAATTTCATCCCAGGGTGTTCAGGTAACTCTTGCAACATCTGAAGTCAAACTGCATGCATTTACAATTAGAAAGAGATTGCAACAATTAAATATGCATGAGAGGTATGTTAGAAAAAGTAATTGCTGTCCAAAAAGAATATCAGAGCAAGATTACAGTTTGCATTGTACAATTGTACATATAGGTATTGTCCAGTCTTTATGGAACAATGTGTTAAAGACTGATAAGTCAAATATAGAGTTGTTTGGTCACAGTAAAAGTAAACATGTTTGCCGCAACCTGAAGGCAGCATTTCAGGAGAACCTCATACCAAACTGTGATGCATGGTTGTGTAAATGTTATTTTCTGGGTTCTCTTTGCTGCTTCACAGCCTGTGCAGCTCTCAGTCATCAAGTCAACCTTACATTCTTCATCACATCAAAGTATGCTTGACCAGAATTTGAGGCCATTTGTCCACAATTTGAACTAGAAAAGGATCTTTCAACACCATAATGATAGGAAGCACACTAGCAAATCCACCAAGGAATAAAGGGTTACAGACTTCCCTAGTTAAAACCTGCTTTTGATTCCTATTACAATTTTAAGACTGGCAGTTTATTCAAAGAAAGCCAAACATCTTCCATGTGAAAATATTTTTCATGGAGAAGTACAGAAGTAGTCTTTACAGGGTGAAATGGAAGGAAGGGAACAGCGCTTTTAAGTGCAGCAAGTTAAAATACTTTAATGGGTAAAAAGTCAGCAAATCACAAAGGTAGGTGAAATTGCACTGTTAAAACATATTCCTTCATCATGCATGCTACTTCTTGGCTTGATGAAGTAGCAGGCATGCTTCGAACATGTACAGCCTCCTCTGACCACAAACCCGGACATGACGTCATCCAGTCCCTCGGAATTCTCAGCCTCCATGAGCAGAGCAGTCAATACTGGAATCCACTAGCACAGCTGCTAGCTTGTTTTCTTTGGATACAGGAACACAGAGACACCCAACGGGACCACACGGGAAGTGCGGGACTTATATGTTTTACAGTGTGGTTGCATCTACCTTTGTAGGTTGCTGACTTATTAACCATTAAAGTGTTGAACTTAGACGTGCTGTTCCCTCTCTTCCTTGTCATTTGCATGTTATATTCTAGCTCATTTTGGAACTGGCTGCTTTCAAGTGCTGACATCTTTTGGACTTTTAATACAGAGAGTTTTATATCCCCCCTTTTATATATATATATATATATATATATATATTGTGACAGTGTGGCGATCTGTCACCCAGGATTCTCAACAAGGCAGGTTGAGGGGCTCCAGGGTAAGTGTTTGATACGGAGGAAAGTGGCTTTTCACTTTCCTCCTTTGTTTGTAAGGTCTGTTTTGGGATCTGGAGCCTGGAGATTTCGAAGCGATCTGGGAGGGATGAAATCTCCAATCCTGGGACCAGGTTTTGGGAATGGCCAGGAGACTGATTGCACAGGTGTGTGCGGGCCTTTTCATAGAGTCAGGACCAGGGTTCTGGGCTCCACCCCGGCAGATAGGAGTCAGGAGGGCTCCACCCCGGCAGATGGGAGTCAGGAGGCCTCCACCTGGAAGACAGGAGTCAGGTGGGCTTCACCTAGGAGAGGTGGAAGCCAAAAGCAGCAAGGGGCTGCTAAAGACTAGCTGTGTGCTAGTGGCCGTAAATCTTGAAGAAGTCTGCAGGAGACAGACATCAAGCTGAGTGTAAGCCAGGAGGCTGAATCATTGTTTTGTTTGATGGTGGATACCCCTGCGTGGGAAGCTTTATGTTCTGGGACATTTGTTTAAATAAAATTGGGCAAAAAGGCCCTTAAAGAAGTGAGTCGCTGTGTGCTTTAAATGAAAAGCTCTACCACTTTGAAGCGAGTTTCCCCACAATATATATATATCTATATATCTATATATATATATATATATATATATATATATATATATATATATATATATATATATATATGCTTTTATGGAATTCCTCATGGTTAGCCCTTTGTGATTTTTTTGGATCCTCTCTTTCTAGGCCAAGTATTTTTCCTTCTACAGGGTTAAATGCCAGCTTTTGATGCCAAGGGATTATTTGTGATCCATAAAAATCTGTCTGGTGAGGGGCCCTTCTGAGAGCTACTGTCACTCCTCCAGGGCTAGCTAGTGTGTAAATCTCCAATGGAATAGCTTTTCCTTTGCCTTTTATGAGAAAAAGGAGCAAGGATGCCTACGTCCTCTGGGGGACTGAAAAGAACTACTCCAATACATACTAAAGAAGCATCAACAAAAAATGGCTTAGAAATTTTGGTCTCAAGAGAGCAGGGCCAGAGAGAAAAGCTTGCTTTACGGCATGAAAGGCTCCACTGCTTCTGGAGTCCACTTCTTGGAAATGGCATTCTTGCTGGTCAGAGCTGTAATAAATGCAATCAGCACAGAGTAACCTTTATTGAACTGTATATAATGGTTGGTGAAGCCCTGGATAGCTTTGAGGACACTGGTTAAAGGAACGTTAGAGATAGTGGCTCTCTTTTCCTGATCTACGTAGAGTCCATCCTTAGAGACAATGTAGCTCAAGAAGGGTACCTGCGGAAGCTTAGAAAGATGCTTTCTGACTTTGGCATAGGGGCCATTGTCTGGAAGACATTAGAGAACAGTGCAGACAATTATTCTTGCTTGGGAAGCTCTGGAGAGAAGATGAGTATGTCATCCAGATAGACAACAAGACAGATATAAAGAAGATGTAAAATAAATCTTGTTCACATTTTGTTCGGCATTACAGGGGCAGTAGGGCATCATAAAGGATCCATAGTCGCCATCTCTGGTGTTGAAAGCTGTTTTCCACTCATCATATTTTTTAGTAAAAACTAAATTGTAGGCACCACATAGTTCAATAATTACCTGTGCTCCCGGAAACGGTCAGCGTGCTTGGTAATGAAAAATGGTATTAGGTGGCAAGGGATAGTGGTTTTCCACCATGATGGCATTCAGGCCATGGTATGCAGGGACAGAGAGAACTTTTCTTTTCCTGACCAAGAAGAACTCTGCCCCAGTTTGGGAGGAGGATTTACAGATTATTATTATTATTATTATTATACAGTATTTATAAAGCGCCAATAGTTGGCTCAGCGCTGTACATTACAATGGGGACAGAACATGTGACAGAACAATAACAATACAATGCAAAACATGAGGGGATCGAGGGCCCTGCTCTTTCAGATAAACCCCTTTTTAAGGGGAGGGAGTATAGCAGACCTCCTGGAATGTTGACACCTGGAATCAGATCAATGACATAGTTAAAGGGCCTGTTGGGGGTAAGATGATCCACTTTATTTTTTGTAAAATGTCCAATAAATCCTCCTAACAGGCTGGTAAAAGTGGGAATACATCAGTAGAAGCCAGAGATATCTCCTGTCTTAGGGCAATGAGAGGAGAATTTCTACATTGTCATAAATCACACATGACAAGCAATGCTCAACTCTCACTTTCCAAGAATAATGGGGGCATTGGCTTCCTGGACCTTAAAGTGTTACTAAACCTAGGACCCTGCATTCACTATATCTGGTCTTCCACAGTACACAGAACCTGCAATTATTTTAGTAAATATAAACTTGAAAATACCTTTTCTCGTCAGCAGCTTTAGAGCAGTCTTGTGACTTCTAGCAGTGTCCAGCTGAGCACTGGTTAAAGCTTGTAAGAGGAGTTTTCATTTTGCTGTAGGAATATGCAGGACCCCTCACCTCTGTCTGGACAGTGCTGATTGGCTCTGTGCTGATCACATGTACTCTCCCAAGAAAAAAGAAAAAGAAAAATCTGTTTATTAAGGGGTAATCCTCTACATTGTGAAAAAAAACGCTGTTTAATCCTGTCTTCTCTGATCCTCCCCATCTTCCAGTGCCCCCTCTTATCTCCTGATATTGTGTGGAGTCACTCTGCACATGCTCAGTTTGGTGAATTGCTAGAGAGTTTGTTTTTTTCTTGGGATAGTGCATGTGAAAAGCATAGGGCCGATCAGCACTATCCAGACAGAGGTCAGGGGTTCTGCATCCTCCTGCTACAAGCTTTAACCAGTGCTCTGCTGAACACTGACAGAAGTCACAAGACTGCTCAAACTGCTGATGAGAAAGGGTATGTAGCAGTTTATATTTACTAAAATATCTGCATTTCCATGTTCTGTGTACTGTGGGAGACCAGAGTGAATGGAGGGTGCTGGGTTTAGTAACACTTTGAATGTTTGTTTTGCCCATGAACATTTTCATTCATGCGTACTCCCTCTGTTTTGGTGGGGAGGATTAAATCCTTTAGTTCTATCAATATAATCACCAGGAGGCAACCATTCCACAGCCAGGGATCTTGGAAAGATAGGCGTTGTTCAACAACTATTTTGTTCTACATGTTCACTTGTCTTTGGCTGTAGCATCAATCCTATTCTCATCAGTGTAATGTTGTACATTAACCACTTCCCGACCAGCCGTTGCATATAAACGGGCCGGACGGTGGCAGTGCAGGGTCGGGTGGCTGTTTATAAATGGCCTCCCCCGCACCCTGCTTGTGCGCGCTCCCCAGCGTGATCTGGTGCTCGCTGTGTCCTCCGGACATAGTGAAACACCGATTGTCAGACGGGACCTCTGTTCGAGGGTCCCGATCATGTGATTGCTGATTGGCCAATCAGTGATCACATGCAAAGTAGTTAGCAAGATGTCACTTGTGACATCATTGCTTACTACGTGTGAAATCTGTAAAAATATAAAAATAAGAATATAAAAAAATAAAATAAAAATGTAAAAAAAAAGTTTAAAAAATTATAATTTTTGGTTATAAACTAATTTGGATTTTTTTTTTACTAAAAAGATAACGGAAATACATTTTGGCAAAGATTTATGATGAAATATTATTTATTTGCAAAATTTTATTAAAAAAACACTTTTTTTCAAAAATTTTGGACTTTTTCATTTACATAGCAAAAAAAAATAAAAATCCCAGCAGTGAATAAATACCAACAAAATAAAGCTTTATCTGTCTCAAAAAAATGGTAAAAAATTCATAGGGGTACAGTGTTGCATGACAGCGCAATTGTCATTCAAAGTGTGATAGCGCTGAAAGCTGAAAATTGCCCTGGACAGGAAGGGGGTGAAAGTGTCCGGTCTGGAAGGGGGGAAAGTGTCTGGACTGGAAGGGGGGGAAAGTGTCCGGACTGGAAGGGGGGAAAGTGTCCGGACTGGAAGGGGGGGAAAGTGTCCGGTCTGGAAGGGGGGAAAGTGTCCGGTCTGGAAGGGGGGGAAAGTGTCCGGACTGGAAGGGGTAAAAGTGTGTCCGTTCTGGAAGGGGGTGAAAGTGTCCGGACTGTAAGGGGGGGGGAAAGTGTCCGGACTGGAAGGGGGGAAAGTGTCCGGACTGGAAGGGGGTAAAAGTGTCCGTTCTGGAAGGGGGGTGAAAGTGTCCGGACTGGAAGGGGGGGGAAAGTGTCCGGACTGGAAGGGGGGAAAGTGTCCAGACTGGAAGGGGGGGAAAGTGTCCGGACTGGAAGGGGGGGAAAGTGTCCGGACTGGAAGGGGGGGAAAGTGTCCGGACTGGAAGGGGGTAAAAGTGTCCGGACTGGAAGGGGGTGAAAGTGTCCGGACTGGAAGGGGGGGAAAGTGTCCGGACTGGAAGGGGGTGAAAGTGTCCGGACTGGAAGGGGGGGAAAGTGTCCGGACTGGAAGGGGAGGAAAAGTGTCCGGACTGGAAGGGGGGAAAGTGTCCGTTCTGGAAGGGGGTAAAAGTGTCCATTCTGGAAGGGGGTGAAAGTGTCCGGACTGGAAGGGGGGGAAAGTGTCCGGACTGGAAGGGGTGTGAAAGTGTCCGGTCTGGAAGGGGGGGAAGTGTCCAGACTGGAAGGGGGTAAAAGTGTCCGTTCTGGAAGTGGTTAAAAAATGTAAATTTAAAAGTGGTAAAAATCTGAAAATAAAATTAAATACTCCCACCTCTTCTTATGTTACATTTGAAAAGGTTAGAATTATTGCAGTTCACTGCCAGCTCATCTCTACTCATCCCTAAAAACACCTTGTCAATCAATAAAGGGTGTGGGTGCAATCACAGCATGGCTCCCAGCAATCCTACCAGATTATGAAACCAAGACACAAATACATTTAGAAATATGGCCGTGGCCTGAGAATAAAAAGAGATGTTTTAGGTTAAAATGTAATCCTTCTTTAGACATCTTGGGTATCGATCTGTTTTATAGGAAATATTTAAAGGGTATATAAGTAAATAGGTCGGTAGGTATACGCCATGATTTTATTATCAAAATAAAAATGAAATATTTCCAGAGTTTAGTCTGGAAGATGAAAGTGACTTGACTGGGCTATTATTCCCTTGTACAAAAATGCTTTAGGATAGTATTTTATATAGTAATCAAAAGGGAAATAAAAGAGTGTTTGAAGAAGAAAATACGTACCCTGAGATTCCCTGAAAGCGAGTGTATGTATTTTTATAAGGCATATTCTGTTCCAAAACCAACTGTTGACGTAATATGTTGATGCAGACTAGAAGTTTAATATTAGAGTTTATATGAGTGCCGTTGCTACGCAGACTCGAGTCTTAATCCTTTGACTGCTAGTGAGACCTGCAGAGCGTGTCACTGCTCATAGGATAATGGTTGGCTCGGCTCCATTTTATCAATGCCAGTAATTGCCTGAAATTGTAGAATGAATAAGAGGGGGGGGGGAAGCAGAGAAGGTAGCTGCTTTAAACTAGTCAGCTTCTTATTTTCTTGTGTAAGAAAAGTAGCAAGTATAAGAAATGTGTAACCAGTGAAAATCACTGTAAACTGTTTAAGACACATCAATGTTATCAGGTAAAAATCCATTAAGGAGTTTGAGAAACTGTTTATTTTATTTTTTTGTTTTTTGGATTTTATTCACCATAGAGGTGTTCTCAGTGGCCTCGTTGTTATAACATCAGAAGTGCATTGATGCTGCCTCAAAGTGAATGGGGTCCTTATTTCTTTTTTCTAAGTATATGCTTTCAACTGCAGCCAAATATCATTAAGCCCCCTTGAGATATGAAATGCAACCCCCTGCAACATTACATTAATCTCCACACAAAACACAACAGCTTCAAAGTTATATTATACAATTATATATAACAATTTTAAGGCTCTTTGTTTACTTTCTTCTCGTAATAAGTACCATTTTGTTTAACATGTACAATTCAAGTGGTTAATTTTCTTTAAAAAAAAATAAAAAATTCAGTGAATAAACTTGCTTTTGTTGCAAGAGTGAGCATATTTTGTTTATATACGTTTATTCATACTGCATCTGTGAGCATTAAAGGATTGTAAGGCTATTTTTTCGTAGGAACATTTTATAAAAACATACATGAAACATGATGAAACAAATAAGTAAATGCATGAAAAGATAATACAATGCATAATAGTTATTAAAATTAGAGAAATTAAGATTTAAAAAAATGAAGCTTTTGCCAAAAGCAGCTGACCAGGCTTCCTTTATTGTTTTTTTTACAATTAAACAGAAATCATGATTAACCACCTTCCACCCACCCTATAGTGCAATGACGGGCGCAAGGTGGCTCTCTCGTTCTGATAGGACGTCATATGATGTCCTACCATTCTCACTGCGCATGCGCGGCTCAGGGAGTGCGCAGCGCGGCGATCGCGGTCCGCTGTGTCCCTCGGACACAGCGGATCACGGAAAGAGCCGAAGATGTCGGCTCGGTCATGTGATCAGCTGTGTCCAATCACAGCTGATCACATGTAAACGCGGAAATGCCGGTTATCGTTTCTCTCCTCGAGCTGTCACGCTCACAGAGGAGAGGAGAGCGGTAATCGGCTTTCCGCGGAGGGGACATGTACACTGATCATCAGGGCACTGATGATTAGTGTGTCCTAATGATCAGTGTAGCCCCAGAAGTGCCACCTGTCAGTGCTCTTCAGTTCCAGTGCCCATCAGTGCCACGTGCCAGTGCACATCAATGCCACATATCAGTGCCCATCTGAGCTGCCTTTCAATGTCACCCATCAGTGCCAGTCAGTGCCACCTATCAATGTCAATCAGTGCCACCAATCAGTGCTGCCAATCAGTGCCACCTATCAGCGCCAGTCAGTGTCGCCTATCAGTGCCAGTCAGTGCCGCCTATCAGTGCCAGTCAGTGCTGCCTAACAGTGCCAGTCAGTGCCGCCTATCAGTGCCAGTCAGTGCCGCCTATCAGTGCCGCCTATCAGTGCCATATATCAGTGTCATGTATCAGTGTCATGTATCAGTGCTGCCTTTCAGTGCCCATCAGTGCCACCTATCAGTGTCCATCAGTGCAGCCTATCAGTGCCCATCACTGCAGCCTCATTAGCGCACATCAGTGAAGGAGAAAAATCAAAATTGTATAACAAAAACTAAGAAAAAATGTTTTTTTTTCAAAATTTTCAGTGGTTTTTGGTTTAAGAAAAATAAAAATCCCAGAGGTGATTAAATACCACCAAAATAAAGCTCTATCTGTCTCAAAAAAATGGCGCACATAGTTCAGTTGCCAAAAAAATCATGCTACCTATGAAACCCCACAATGGGTTATTCTAGAATCCATAGAGTGCGACCCCTTATCTACAGCTAACCTACTCTGGTTGAGACCTATCGATCGCAGTTCGGTTACGAACCCCATTACTTCTCATTTCTTACATCTTTGGGATAAATTAAAATCCCGTTATCTCCTCCAGTCACCTCATAATCCCCTTCTTTCATATCTCCGAAACCCAGCCTTTCCCCCAGCTGCTCCTCACCACACTCCTTTAGTAGCTGGCTCTCAGCTGATCTTATCCGAACCCATCACTTCCTGCTCAGGAACAAATTTAGATCCTTTACCTCACTATGTGAAACCCACGAACTCCCGACTTCTGAAATATTTCGATACCTACAATTGAAACATCTCTACGCCCAGTACACCACAGGCCGCCAATCCAGTATCCATCATGTCCCCTTTTGAACGAGCTTGCCACAATGACCCTCATAGACGAGGCCTCATATCATACCTGTACTCCCTCTTCACAACCCCGTCCACAACACCACTATCTTCCTATACACAGAAATGAGAAACAGACCTAGGCCAGCAAATTGACCCTTCGGTCTGGGATCACATTTGGTCTACTACCAAGGAGTCGTCACAAAATATCGTGGCTTTAGAGACCAATTACAAAGTCCTGACCCGCTGGTACTTAGTCCCTTGCTAAACGTAACAGTAGTTCAAAATAAGGTAACCCAGGCTATGATTCACGCCAAAGTAGAAGCCACAATTTTAGATACCATCCCTAAATTTAAGACGATTTGGGGCCCCTGGGTAGAACACTTTCTACTGCCTAATTTTGATCATTCTCTTCTCATTCTGTAACAAACACTTCAAGCTACACTGGTACCACCCCCCACAAATCCTACGTTTTCCTCCTCTTAGCTGTGGAGTTGCATATAAAAAGTTATATATTTTAGATTTTTGCAATTATATTTATTCAGTATTAACATGTTTAGTACCCTCATTGCTGAGCGCTTCATCCATTTTTAAATAGCAAAGTACACCCCCAACTACCCTTCAGCGTGCTTCAGAGGCTGCGTAGACCTGGGCACTTTTTTCCATATATGGTGGGACTGTCCAATCGTCCAAGTTTTCTGGAGGTTTTTAGAATGTTTTCTTTACTAAGCGCAATAACCCTCCACCCTAGCCCCCTAGCAACTGCACTACTTAACTTACGACTGCACTACTTAACTTACGACCACCTGATATCACGAAATTACAATTTAAACTTATCCTGCAAGTTACCACAGCAGCCAAACAGGTAATCGCCAAATCTTGGAAATCTCCCTCGCTATTGTTAAACGTAACAGTATGTGAGTGTTCAAAATAAAAAGGTAACCCAGGCTATGATTCACGCAAAAGTAGAAGCCACAATTTTAGATACCATCCCTAAATTTAGGACGGTTTTTTTTCTGGGGCCCACTGGGTAGAACACTTTCTACCGCCTAATTTTGATAATTCTCTTCTCTTCATTCCATAACAAACACTTCAAGCTACACTGGTACCACCCCCACAAATCCTACGTTTTCCTCCTCTTATCCGCGGAGTCGCATACCCTTCCCTATTCTCCCCCCCCCCCCCCACATCCCTCACATATTGCTTTTCACTTGTTACTGTTTTGGACATTCAATTATGTACCCTTAGAATAACTTATTGTATGAGAAATGTATACCTCTATTGTCTCATCTACTCTACCCTTCCTTGTTAAATCAATAAAATGTTTGAACAAGAAAAAAAAAAAAAATTCAGGTGACTTTTTTCTTGACTTTGACTGTGGGAATTTTAGGACAACTCATTATGCACTTCATAACTTTTGACCAATGGCCATCATACTGAAAAAGGCCAATAATTGGGAAAATCGGATAGCTCAGCCCTCTCAGTATAAAAGAGTGCACCCCCAAGAACCATAATGTCATTGTGTTGGAGCTGTTGTAGGGGGAGCTGGCAATCTGGGTAGGGAGAAATTAGGGAATTCTGTGGTTCAATTGTACTATAATTCCATGAATTGTTGCAGAGGGTTACATTGTCTTTTGTACTCTTTTTTTTTTGTTCTCATAATTGAGAGCTTAAATTAAATGTATTTCTATAAGTTTAGTTCCTGCTTCATGTGAGAGCAACAGTCCCTTTTTGTTGCTGTTCCATCGACATCAAAGCTGCTT